GATGGCCAAGTGTCCGAAACTTATTTTAATTATTAAATTACACACACACACATATTTACCTACAAACTGTGATCATTAGTATATACATTATAATGTTGCTTATATTATAATATATGGAAATGTTAAATCAAACTAGGCAAATAATCATAGACTCCCATAAGTTAAGCAGAATATCACTGATATCATCACCAAAGGATTGCATTTGTATCTTCATGCGACATTTACACGTTATAGGCTTTAAAGTACGAGATTCACAATAAGCAATTTTGATATGACAACAATGTTGAATCTTTAATTATAATGTAACAATCTTAGTATGTGTTTTTAATTTTGTTCTTATCAGACTTAAATTTTATCGTTTTTGTGCTTTCTTTCTCAAATTCGTTCTTACTTTTACTTCAATTTTCAAGAGCGGATTCAGGGTTGCTGATTAGGTTGGGCTAATTTTGGATTGAGCTAATTTTGGGTGGGCTAATTTTTTTTTTTTTTAGCTGGGCTAAAAGTAGTATAGTAAAAAAAAAAAAAAAAAATCTTTTTTGGGGTGGGCTGAAGCCCATCTTCGCCCACCCCTCTCTCCGCCCCTGGATTCTAAGTGATTTGAGGAAAAACAAAGACCCTCAACCTTTATATCAGTATATATAATTTTTTTTAATTTATATTATTACTTATAATTTTAATTAAAAGTTTAAAAATATTCCCACTCAATTTTTTCTAATTTACATTATTACATATAGTTTCAACTAAAATTAAAAAAATGCCCCCACTGATTTTTTTTTTTAATTTGCATTATTACTTGAATTTTTCTAATTTACAATATTACTTATAGTTTTAATTAAAATTTTAAAAATGTCCCCACTCAATTTGTTTTAATTTAGATTATTACCTATAGTTTCAACTAAAATTTAAAATGCCCCCACTGGATTTTTCTCAATTTACATTATTACCTATATTTCAATTAAAATTTCAAAAATAACCCCACTCAATTTTTTCTAATTTACATTATTACCTATAGTATCAAATAAAATTTGAAAATTTCTCCACCCAATTTTTTAAAATACTCCATTTCACATTTTTTTTTCTCATAAATACTCCATTTCACATTTTTACCACACTAATTTTTTAAAATTCTTATATTTATTATTTTATTTTAAAAATATTTGTCTTCAATTTTTATATATTCTTCAATCGCGAACCCCCTCAAAAAATTCCTAAATCTGTTGCTGTTTATTACCCCCCCCCCCCCCCCCAAAAAAAAAAAAACTAAAAATTTTGTTCAGTTTCAACTTTTGTTACTCTTATTATTATTATTATTTTGGAAAGTCGCTTTGTCACTCTTATTGTTTTGCCATGCGTACTACAGTATAAAGATTCACATTTCTATCACAATCATTATATATATATATATATACCATTTCTCAGCAGCTGATTACTCTGTATTATAAAGGTTTTATAGAATTTAGTTTTCAATTTTAAAGGTATAACCCATTATTTTTCGATTTATGTTTAAAATCACCTCTCTTTTTTATTTTTATTTTTTCTTTTTTTCTCTCTCCCTCTTTTTTCCTCTTGAAAAATTGCTAATTCCATCATATAAACAACAAATAAAAGGTTAGATCTGAAACCAATTTACTCCGTAAACTATGCTTTTGCCTGCTATTACATATTGACTACACTTAATCTTGTAAAATAATCAAATGATACTAATTTCTCTAGTCCACTTATGAAACATATATTACAAGTATATATATATATATATATATATATATCAAACTGCTAGACCACATTATTTGTGTTCATCTCATAAGAATGTTGTTAACCACATATGGGGATATTTTGGGGTGATATTTTTTTCCAAAGGGTATTTTCGAGTGATAATCTATTCGTATGATTGGGAAGCGTGGACAAAGCGTCCTAAAAAGGATAACAAAAAAGCACCCCACTTCATTCCATTTACTGGAAACAAAAACACAGCAATGTCTTCGTCACTTCAATGGACACATTTTCTATTTTTAGTAATATGGATTGCTTATTTTTGGTTCGTGGCATCGACTAAGTGGTGGTCCTGCCCCTACAAATATCTTCCACAATTCCAGGTGGAACAATACTATTGGATTCACAAAAAGAACGCAACAACCCCCCATTGTGGCTCATCTTTACGTGTCGATTGTCTAGTCTGCCTTGGAATTTGTATCCACTTTAATTTTATACGTGTCGAGAAGTCCAATTGCAGATCAATGTGGTCCGTCGATGGCGGATTGGAGGCCTTTACTACCAAAATGACTCTAATGTCCTCCGCACTTTGTATGCATTTCTATCATAAAATTATTAAATAATTCTGAATCATTTGATAAGTAATGAATCAGTTAAATTAAGTTACCAAATGTCACCACCTAATAAAATTTTAATTACAACAACATATCATATTGAGCATGTATTGTGATTTTGAGAAAAAATTCTTTGGCATTGTTACATTTTGATGCAAATAAGTAATATCCAACAAGCTTGGTATCTTCAATTAAATATGTTGTATTGATCGTTATAATTATGTAGTGTTCTCTATTTATATGCATGGTAAAGTTTTGGTACGTTTGATAAGTCGTTGAATATCTAGTTTTAGAGAACTAATGTTATGTTTGGTTGAAGAGATGTGTTTTTGGAATTTTAGAGTTTATAATTATTCTAATCCTAATTCTAATTTTAAATGGTTGATTCCATTACTTAGAATGCAACATAACTGACTGCACAAATATTCTCTACCACCATATTTAAAAAAATAAAAAGGAAGTTTTATCCTAGTTAATACCACTAGTGTCATCATCAAGCGACTCTCGAGTTGTATTTATCAAACGATTTTGTTTGGGAGTTTTTCGAACCAAACGGGACCATTTGATCAAATGAATCGAACCATGAAAATCAGTTTGGTTTGGTTCAGATATCAGTTTAGTTTATTTTTCTTTTTTCCTGAATTGTATATGTACCAAAAATAACAAAAGTATTCATATTTCAAAATCCAAATACACGACACATTCTGCACGTTCAAATAGAACATAAATGAATACATTCAAAACCAAGTACTACTTCAATATTCTCTATCACTGTTAACGTATTCCAAGGAAAACAAGTGATTTAGCCAAAACCTTGAGAGCGAGAGAGATGATGACAGATCTAGCCAATGGTCGTGAGGGAAGATCAACGATGGTGAGGGAAGATCAACGATGGTGAGAGAGAGAGAGAGAGAGGAGGTCACATCACTGAGAATGAGAAATTAGGTTAGGTCTCTATTTTATTTTTTAGTGTGTTTTGTAAGAACTCAGATGATCAAGTATTCGGATATAATAACTTGATAAGAGACTTGACATCGTGGACCGTAGAATTGATCATTGATATTAGTACTAGAAACTTTTAAGTTCTATTGACCGTAGGATTATATTGTAACAAATATAAAATTTAACACACGCACACATATATAATTTATCGATTTGGTTCGGTTCAGTTTAATCCGTAGGACTTTAAATTAGGATCGAATCATATTTTTATAATTTTACTAATTTGAAATTAAACAGTTAGAAAAGCGGACTAAACTGTTTGATTCGATTCAGTTTGGTTTGATTTTTTTTTTTGGACCCGAATTTTATGCACCCATGCCATTGAATGAAATGAAAAAAAAATAAAATTTACGAAATATAACCAAGCTTCTCAAAATAAGTAACTTAACCAATGTGCATAATCTATAGGAAAACTATACAAAAATGCTTGTTGATTGGGATAGGTTAGGCTCAATCAAAGCCAGATGCGTGTCAAAAACGAAAAGCTATATTTTTCATTGGTTCATAAGCTTCTATGTATATATATATATATATATATATATATATATATGTTGCCATGAAATGTGGACGGTTGATCCATTTCATTAAAATACTTAAGTTCTACTCTAATGGGTTGATTAAATTCTCCCATACCAAATAGGCCATTGGTAAGTTCAAATGTGGCTGACAGAAAATCAAAAGCCTTTTTGTGTTGGTTCACAAATCACATGTTAAAGTGTCTCTAGTTTAGAAACTCACATTTCATTAGAAACCATATTAATACCAAACCAATATTAGGAGTGGTGTAGTAGTGTGTGACCAAAACGTAAATGAAAAATATGACAAGGTGTTAGAACCTAAGCCTTTAATTTACCAAGCACTTAAAATTTTCTTGTATTTCTTAAAATTTGTGGTTATGTTTTTGCCTTTAATTCATAATTTATTTAGTATAAGTCAGCCTCAATCAACCTCATTAACAAATAATAATATATAAAAAAAAAAACTCTCCCAATTCAAGAATTATAAATTTTATTTAATAACGTCCAATGAAAGAATTTATTGCTCGACTTAATACCCATCACACAAATTGTCTTAATTCAAAGATTAATAAACAAACAACTCACACTCCCAATAGCACTTATTAATTTCCTAACCAAAAAATACATGGTAGCTAGAAGGTCCTAACCATATTTTTTTTGGTTTGAAAATTAAGAACCAAAAAATATTTTAAAACATTTAATAAACACAAATAAAGAAATCATACTGTCCAATCAATAATGCTACTGTCACATCACATAGTTCACATAGACAGTGCCCTTATATATTACAATAAGGGTAGTAGGGTACCCCCTACAATGCAAAGGTAAGTGCCACAAAATTGAAAGGAAAGAAACTTTAGCCCGTACGTTCATTCCACGCGCGCGAAGGTCGTTACTACCACCAACTACTATTTTTGTTCCACTGTCCCTTCTACAACACAGCTCAATTTTTCCCAAAATAGACCACATCTTAACAACCCGGTTCATGTCCTCAACTGATAAAAGCTAACAAACACCTAATTATTGTCATCCGACCCGGATTATCCGGACCCGTAAATCCCTCTTCAACCAACGATTACGTTTCTTCCTCACACGTGTCACCATCCCATTGCCCGCACGCTTCCTCCACTATCCTATTTATATATACTCGCTCTCTCTCTCCTCTCCCGCCTTTTGTTCGTTTTACGTTCCTAAATCCTAACAGTAACAAACCATACCCATCTCTCTCTCTATCTCTCTCTCTCTCACTCCTCTCTGAAACGATCGTATTCCCAATCTTGTTTTTATCTGTTTTTGGGTTCAACACCTTCATTGTTGTGAATTAATGTGATCGATCAATCGATGTTAGAAGAAACGAAGCACTTGCCTTCAAAATACGGCAAAATGATGTACTCCGATCCCAACATTTCATCTACGCCCGCTTATGAGGACTTCAACGTCCGGAACAGCAGCTTCTCCGCCGTCGAACCCAACCGGTTGAGCGGCGAGGCCTCTCCGATGATGATGTCTCCGTGGAACCAAGGATTTACACGACCCTCCTGGGCCAATTTTGAAGACACCCCACCTCAGAACCTGCCCCAAAATTGTCTTATCGGATCACTTGTCCGTGAAGAGGGACACATATACTCGTTAGCCGCCACCGGCAACCTCTTATACACCGGCTCCGACAGCAAGAATATCCGGGTTTGGAAGGAAATGAAAGAATTCTCTGCATTCAAATCAAACAGTGGGTTGGTTAAGGCTATTATAATCTCCGGGAAGAAGATTTTCACTGGTCATCAAGACGGGAAAGTTCGGGTCTGGAAGGTCCACCCGAAGAACCCGAGCATTCACAAGCGTGCTGGGAATTTACCCACCTTCATGGACATCTTCAAGTGCTCGATTAAACCCCGAAACTACGTCGAAGTGAAACGCAATCGTACCGCTCTCTGGATCAAGCACTGCGACGCCATTTCTTGTCTGAGCATAAGCGAAGAGCAGGGCCTTCTCTATTCAGCTTCTTGGGACAGGACATTTAAAGTGTGGAGAATTGCGGACTCCAAATGTCTCGAATCCGTCAAGGCCCATGAGGACGCCGTCAACTCCGTCATCACCACCGTCGACGGCATGGTGTTCACCGGCTCCGCCGATGGCACGGTGAAGGTGTGGAAGAGGGACATGTTGGGGAAAGTCACGAAACACACGTTGGTTCAGACGCTATTGGAACAAGAATGTGCTGTGACGGCTTTGGCTCTGGGCGGGTCGGGTTCGGCTGTGTACTGCGGGTCGTCGGACGGGTTTGTCAATTTCTGGGAACGTGAGAAGCAGTTGTCACACGGTGGGGTCCTCAAGGGGCACAAGCTGGCGGTTCTGTGCGTCGCGGCTGCAGGGAATCTGGTGTTCAGCGGATCTGCAGATAAAAACATATGCGTGTGGAGGAGGGACGGCACGGTCCACACGTGCCTGTCCGTGTTGACTGGTCATAGTGGGCCCGTCAAGTGCTTGGCTGTGGAGGGTGATCGTGAATCAACGGCCGGTGATCGACGGTGGACTGTGTACAGTGGGAGTCTCGATAAGTCCGTGAAAGTGTGGAGCGTGTCGGAACAAGCGCCTGATTTGCATCAGATGGCTTTGATTCAACAAAGTCAAGCAACCAGTGGGGCGGACCCAAAAATGGATTCGGTACCCCCACCGAGTTATTAGGATCCGGGTTTCTAATCTGACTCTGACTTGGGGTGAGTGCCACATGTGCACTTGATCATGTATGACACGTGTTGATTGCAAGGTACCCAAAAAAAAAAAAAAAAAAACAACCCTTTTCTAAAAAAAAAACTGGTGTGGGGCTTGAATGATGACGAAAATAGATTGTCAATTGCTTGGAGAGATGGAGAGGTATTGAAGAAATAAGAAGTTCCATTGTTAATTATTATTTTTATTTTTTTGTTTTTCCTATTTGAGATACAAATTATACAATTTATAATGTTATTGAGAGGGATATTAAATTAGCTCCCTTTCAATTTCGTTGTGCGTTTATTTAATATATTCGAGAAGAGGACTTAAAACGGAGTAAAGAAAAAAACAAGGATGGGGCTATATGTCTTAAATTGTTTGAATATATATATAAATATAAAAATTAATTGCATACACTTGAAAAGTCTTCTTATGTGAATATAAATCATCCTATGTTTAATTTTGTTATTAATAATTCAACTCACACCTAACTGTAATGACTTCCGAGAATCATACGGGTGTCAATAATATATTTTTATAAATGCACACACTGACACATATAAATCATCCCCATGTTCTTGCGAGTTGACTAGAATTTCTCAATGTGGGAAACGTTGTTAAAAGTTCAAAAGGCCATTTAGATGGCCCATGAAAAAAAAAACTAAGGCTAAAAGCCCGGCCCATGAAACGAGTTTTACCAACTAAAATTGAAAAATTATACTGTTACCTCGAATCCTCTTAAATAAATATATTTTTTACACCTCTATGTTTCTATTTTACTATTATAATAATGAAAGTTCACAAATAGGTGAATTTGATATTCATAAACTGCTAAAAAATGAAATTGGACCTATTGTATAACTGGCCATATGCAGTGGCGAAGTGTAACAAGTGTGCGCTTGCTTATTTACTCGAAACCTTAAGCTATTGGGTAGTGTCCTTTGTAATATTTTGCCCATCTGAACTCGTTGTAGTCAGGCCACCCTACCTACCAAAATGGCACACCCGGACACCTTTTGGACTGGACACTTGGTGTGACACCGGATCAAGGATTAGGTCTGTCTCTGATATTAATTGTAACGGGTGGGCGCTTGTCCATTTGCCCAAAACCTTAAAGTGCTGGGTAGTGCTGCATACCCATCCATTTATACACATATATTTTTCCATGTGGACTGATGTTGGACAAGCTCCCCCTTATAACACAGAGCCACGTTGGGATAAGTGGAGACAATTCCCTATGCTAAAATTTTCAGTTATTTATATTTTTTATGCAAAATTTTTAATAATTCTTAAAGTGCTTCATTGAACTTTTGGAAAATTCTCAAATGACCTTAAAAAAACACTCTCAAAGTTCAAAAAGACCCCTCATTTTCAAACCCGACCATTTATTCAATAAAATTTTCAAAAAAAAAAAAAAAACCCCCTATGTTTTTTCTTCTCCCGTGGATCCCAAAAAATGTTTAAGAATCAATTTTTTTATTTTTTAAAAAGACCCCCAATTACTATTTATTTTTCCAGTTCAAAATTTATTACTAGTATCAAATTATTGTTAATAGTTGTCCCTACTCAAGTAGATTGCATGACTCGGCCACTGTCCATATGCAACCAAGTCATTCTTTTTTTCTTTTCTTTTTTTTTTTTTTTCAAAATTTTAAGCAAATGGTATATATGTATAAAGATTTACAAGGCCATAAGGTCTAGCAGCCCAACAACCAGGTAGCCAAAAATAACAACCCAACCCAATAGCCAGAACAACAACCCAACCCAATATACAAAAGCTGCTTTGAACTGTGTCTTCTCCAAAACACCATCGTTGATGCAAGCAAAGATAGTCGTTGGAACTGTGCTTTTGCAGTTAGCAATGGTTGTCTCTACAACCGGCCAGTGACTTACGGGGTTAATCTTTGCTGCGAAGATCACCCCAATCCCTTAGTTAGGTGGGCTAGGGGGTGGCCTTGGATGAACTAAAATCAAGCTCCATTCTTCCGCAAGGACTAAGATTGGTTCCTTTTTTGAAGCTTTGAGGATTCCGGCAATGGACGATGCTACCAATTTGAGAACACATGCTTGTGACGAAGGCGTGCTCCTGTAAAGTCTGTTATTCCTCTATTGCCATATCGTGTACACCATGACTGCAAAGGGCCAATTTACAGATTATAATTATAAGGCTCCTGTTGACCCTATGTTAACTCACCCAAATGATGAATTGTGACCAATTATCGCTTCTTGTGTAGCATCTATATTTGTCTTGAATGAATCGTCGTATTGGGGAAGTGAACTCACAGTTAAAGAATAAATGTGAATGGGATTCTAGTTTGGAGTGGTAGAGGTGACAAGTTTTGGGTTCAGTTTTGGACATGATTTTGCCGTCCAATATGGGTAACCTGTCATGCACTACAATCCATAGTATCAATTTATGTCGTGGAGTGACAATTGAGTCCCATACTAGCTTGGACCAGTAGACAGCTGAGTGGGTTGGTGAGAGGGCATACAAGGTGTGCTTAAGTGAGTATTCCCCGTTGGGGCTCCCCTTCCAAATGATTTTATTTTATGCAGATGGCATTGGTGGTTGTAGCAATTAAGGTGAGCTTAGGGATAATAGTGATGAGTTGATGTGGAAATGCCCAATTTGTGGAGTTGATGTGAGAGCTTACTTTTGTGTTGAGGGAAGATCCTAATGCTTAGATGGTATTATCATTGAAAATGTCTATGAGGGGTTCACCATTAAGCCAACAATCAGACCAAAAAAATGTGTTCTCTCCATTGTTTACCTGATGTTGTATCATCTTCTTAGCCAAAGGATGAAGTTGGAGTATTTTCCTCCAGCTCTAAGAGCACACTTGTGGGATGTTCTTTGTCCAGAAGTTGTCATCCTTTAAGAGGTATGTTTTATACCACAAACCCCAAATTCTTTGATTATTTCCAGAAATGAGCTCCCATATGTGCCTCATGATGGCAGCCCTATTGACCAGTTCCAAATTAGGAATCCCAAGCCCACCCTCATCCTTAGGCTTGCAAACTGAGCCCCAAGCAATTCTGCCCCAGTTTTTCTTAGGTCAGAACCAAACCATATGAACCTTCTCAAAGAGTATTGATATCATCAATTACCTTCTTGGGCAGAATAAACATATTAGACCAGTACGTTTGAGTGGAAACAAGGACTGATTTGATTAGTACCAATCTATTTGCATAGGAAGATGTTCAATGGTTTACTCTTGCTGTGATCTTATCAATCAAGATGTTGTGGTAAGCAACTTTTAGGCCAGTAGAGATGAGAGGAACCCCCAAGTGTTTGATTGGCAAGGATCCAATACCCACTCTCAAAAAAGAAGACATTATAATCTCATTAGAGTAATCCAATCCAGAGGAGAACACTGAGCTCTTAGATGGATTAATGGATAATCCAGAGAGAGATGAGAAGAGGTCAAGTGCTGATTTAAGGGTTGAGATAGAGCCAATATAACCATGATAGAAGAAAATGAGATCATCAGCAAATTTTAGATGAGTGAAACCAATATTTTTGCATCTCTAGTGACACTTGAATGATGAGTTTTGAGTAACATACTTCTTGATAATGCATGACAGTACCTCCATTGAAAGAACAAATAGTGATGGGGATAGGGGTCTCTTTGCCTAAGTCCTTTAACACCCTTGAAATACCTATAAAACTCCCCATTGATAGTAATAGTGAAGGTAGAGGATGAAATGTATGCATGTATCCATATGATGAGCTTTTCTGGATAACCAAGTAAGGAGAGTGTATCAATCAAAAAGCCTCAATTCACACTGTCAAATGCTTTCAGTAAATCAACTTCCCATTCACATTTAGGGGCAATACCAGAGGAAGGGCTATGGTATCCTCTCATAAGCTCTTGTACAAGAAGGACAACAACTTATTAGTCTATAATCATTCAGTGTAGTGTGGTTTTGACATTTGGGGACCAGGCAAATGTAAGCTGTGTTGTATTCTTTAAGGAGCATGTCATTCATGAAGAACTCTCTTACATCTTTAGTGATGGTATTCCCCACAAGATGCCAAGATTTCTTGAAGAAGTGGGCATTGTATTCATCAGGCAATGGAGCTTTGTCATCATTGATGGAGAAAATTGATTGCTGGATCTCAAGGTCAGAGGGGATGGCTTCAAGAGGTGGGATGAGGTAAGTTGGCATTCTTTTGCTGATGAATGGTGCAAGAATTTTTCTTCTATGGTATGGGGAGGGTGAATCTCCTAGTAGTTGCTTGAAGTAATTAAAGGCTTCATCCTTGATGTCATCAGGTGATGTGAGTGTGGAAGTATGAGGTGTTGTAATCCCCCAATTACAGCCAAGTGATTCTGGATTTCTGCCTAGTGATGTTTTCTTCTGCAAGTAGCATTTGTGAGTAGTTAGTGGAAAAAGCTTTCTCAAGATCCCTGGGCTCAAGATCATGTGGATCAAGGTCAAGATCATCCTGGCATCTGTGGAGTTCCTCTTTGATGAGCTTCAGCTTAGAAGGAATATTGGAGTAGTCCTCTCTACAGTTGTTCCTTAGTGGCTGTTTCAACAACTTCAGCTTTTGTACAACCTGGAACAATGCAGTTCCACCTACATAGGATCTCTAAACTCTATCCACTGTAGAGAAAAAATGAGGGTGAGAGTATTAAGTGTTAAAGTATTTGAAAGGCACAACTCTTCTTGAGGGCATTGAGGTATGTATCTTAACATAAATAGGGCCGTGATTTGATAATCCTGGTGGATAGAAGGTGCATTCTGAGTTAGGGAAGCTAGTGTGCCAACAATAATTGACTAGAGCTCTGTTAATCTTCCTTGCAATGTTTGCATACCATAACTTTTATTGTTCTATGTGTAGAGAATCTCATTATATCTCAAATTCTCAATCTCAGCTTCCTGCAAGCATTCTTTAAAGTCAGTCATTGCTTGTATCCATTTGCTTGAGCCACCATGTCTATCATTAGAGTTTGGGATGGCATTAAAGTCCCCCATGAAGAGCCAAGGGGAAGTAGTGGTGAGGTTGGAGTAGGCAATTATGTTAGCCCAAAATGGTCTTCTATTTGCCATATACAAAGGTAATGTTAAAGGATAATGAGAGGTCAATGGTGGTTATGGAACAGTGGATAACTTACTTAGAAACATGTGTGATAAGGAGGTTGGATTTGGAAGGATTCCATAGAACCCAAATCCTACCTAGTTAGGAGTGAGAGTA